GTATATTGTCCACCCGCTGGGTTGATGGCGAGGCTTTCATTAAACGTGAGTCCAGAATGACACCTATGAACCCCACAGACTGACTTGGAATTAGCTGGCTCTTGCTGAAATTCACAGAAAGGCCCAGACGGGTAATATGTGACAGCAGCTGTGTGATTTCCAGCACTGCCTGCTCCTGAGAGTGGGAGCAGAGGAGCCAGTCGTCCAAGTACGGAAGCACCTGTAGCCCTGTGGCTTGGATTGGAGCCAGTGCTGCCGCCATGCACCTGGTGAAGACTCGTGGGGATAGGGAAAGGCCGAATGGGAGGACACGGAATTGATAGACCTGGTCCTGGAATGCAAAGCGGAGGAACGGCCTGTGTAGAGGAGCAATTGGAATATGGAAGTAAGCATCTTTTAAGTCTACTGTGGTGAACCAGTGCTGCTGCTTGACCGCCTGGAGAACATCGGTTATGCGTAACATACGAAATGGTAAGATCTTCAGGAACTTGTTGAGGCCGCGAAGGTCGAGTATGGGCCTTACACCTCCGTCTTTCTTTGGAATGATGAAATATATTGAGAAGAACCCACCAAGCCGTTCTGACCATTTTACTGGTTCGATGGCACCCTTCTCTAGAAGTTGTGCTATTTCTTGTTTTAAGGCAAGTGAACTGTTGGGGTCTGAGACTGCGGTCATCTTGACCCCCTTGAAAGCGGGCGGCCGCCGTCAGAACTGCAGCTTGTACCCTTGAGTTAGTGTTGCTATAACCCATGGGTCGGAAGTTGTTGTTTCCCAGTAACTGAGCTGCTGATAAGAAAAACGTCCGACGGCCGGCCGCAGACCTTCAGGACCTACGTCCATGGCCTCTAACATCCCTGGTGGGCCGTTGGCCAGGTGCTCTGCCCCTTGGGGCCTGAAATACTTGCTGTCCCCGAGCCCGGGGCTGCTGAGCAGAACGCTCTACTCGCTGAGATCGGTCAAAGCGCTGAGGCTGGCCCCTGTGAACATCACCTTGGCGTGTTAAAAAATGAGAGCGTGGTAGTTCATACCCCCTAGAAGGTTGTCGGTAATTTAAGTGAGACGGTGGAACTCTCCTCAGGTCAGCAAACTGCTGCCTGGTCTGATTCACCTGGACACAGCTGGCCCAAAGAGTTGTCCTGGAACTACTGGAAGGTCCCTTAGTGTTCTCCTACATGCCTCAGACAGAGGTGACTGTGCAAGCCAGACTTGGCGACGTGCTTGTGTAAGCGTTGATATAAGCCTTCCCAGCTCTCTTGTCATTAATGCGATTGCCTGAAGCGAGGCATCACTTCAGTTTTGGTTTAAGGGATCACTTCCTGATGATTGAAGGGACTGAGACAGGGCCAACATGAGATGGGAGAGAGAGTTGCCAATGCGACCCATTCGTGCTGCAGTGTTATATACCTGGATGAGATGATCATCTGTAATCCTGCATTGAGGCCGGGGGCAACGAACATTAGACCTCAAGACCTCCTCTGGGGAAAGAACAAAAGAGGCAATAATTGGATCAACCTTAGGCATCTGACCAAAGCCATATGTGTCTGCATCCTTCATCGCAGCCAATGCTCTGCTTGTACTTGTGGGGTGCGTAAGAGATCTAGGGTTAGCCCAGCATCTTTGCAACTCCTCGATATAATCCTTTGATGGTGGAATTGTAAGAGGAGAGGGTTGCGCAGAACCCTTGAAAAAAGCACTAGAAGTGGTTGCCACCGCAGGGGCTGTGTCAAGACTCAAGCGAGCCATTGCAGCCTGAAGAGCTTGCTTCGCCAACTCTTGCTCTGACTGTGGACCTTCTGCAGATCCATGACCAGCGTCCTGGGAGCCATCATGGGGACAATGGGATTGATGATCAGATATAACCTCCACTGCATCATTATCATAGAACTGGCTGTGAGAAGCCGCAATTGAAAGGACATCCTCCTGCACAATGGGCAACTCCATTGCGGGGGCTTCGACCGAAGATACTAGTCTCTCGCTCGGTTGCAAATTCATAAGCAAAGACTTAATCTGAGCAAACTCAGCAGTCAGCACATCCACCTTCTTACCTAAGGGGTCTACCTTGGGTCTCTTACCAGCAGAAGCACTGGTTGATTCAGTATTTCTACGCTTACTTGATGCTTTATGTGGTGGAGGTGGTGGTAGCGACTCTCCCAAAAGTCCTTCCACCATAGTTATCCTCGAAGTCCTCCTCTCCCAAGACATGACGCTGCAGTTCATGCAGGCGTCTTCAATGAGGCCCTGTGTAAGGTGTTCTAGGCCTAAACAGGAAGGGCAGCAGTCATGCCCATCATCCGTCTGGAGAATGGCCATGCACAATGTGCAAGTATGAGATAACCTTTCCATCCTGGGTTCGGAAGATATTTCGTAGGTCGAGCGGAATCACTCTGACCGTCACTGTCCTCAGCAAGCCTTGCTACGAGAATATCTACTATAGAGATACAATATATATATATATAATGTAATATATTACACAAACACCCTTATTGCAGTGTATATGTAAATATACTATAACAAATTATATACTATAATTTATTATGCGTGTATATTGTTATATATGTTTATATATAATATATGTATATATATATATTACTTATATATATCCTATTTACCCAACATGTATAAAAAGAACAAGCTTAATGTTTTTTTTTTTTTTCCAATATAAGTGTGTTACCTGAAAGAGAGCTTTGCAGAGTATTGTACTTATTGTAGCACAGATACCGATCGCTATACAGAGCGCACACACTCCTAGCGCGGTCTTGACTACTGCTGCAAGTTATTATGGCCCTTCCACCAAGCGAAAACACTCTGTCTAGCGACCAACACCATGCCAGGGAAACGAGAACGAACCCCCACATATATGTAAACAACTCACCAGCAAAGCCGTTGTTTCCCGATTGTCAGCTGTTACTTTCTTCAATGAAATTCCAAATGAATCCGCTGCAGCCTCTGGAGGACGCGCAGTCGCGAAACACCAACAAATGTTTTTTGTTGCGAAGCTGTGAAGAACGGATTCCAAAGTCTTTTCTTTTTTAATAATCTACTACCTGCAATACATGCAAGCGAGAAGATTATAGGGACAGTCTGCAGGAAGTCACGGGGTTAAATAGGGGAGCACCCCGAGTCATCCTGGTCACGAGGGACATATGCTGCGTCCCAATTCGCATACTATCCGTCCTAAATAGTATTCGAAAATAGAATTAGTACGTCCCAAATCGTAGTATGTTGAAATGAGTGTCCCAAAGAGACCCGGATGGTCTACTATATCCGGTCAGAATCCGAAGTGCAGATCGATGCGCACTCTAACGGCTGATATTGCCCACAACCCATCGCGCGCTGGACGAGGATTCGGTTAGAACTACAAACTGAAAGTGAAAAGTGTTCAAAAACTACAGACATGGAGGACGCGCGAGTCCGACGGTTATGTAGAGAGGTTTAGATACAGGGGTTTGAGTGATTAATTATCAGTATCTAACCTGACGAAAATGTATTTATTCAATGTTGTCCACATTATATTGCATCTGCAGCAGCATTGTGAACTTTTGCAAAGATACATTTAGCCATTAACTTTTAAATTAGGCTTATTATATATATTCAAATTCCAAACACATGAGGAGAGTCTCGGCATGAAAGACCCATGACTGGCAGATGAACGTGCGACAACATTTCTCTCCGAAATGGTAAGAAGTTATATTAGATTGAATGGAGGATTTTAACTGTGACGAGATGATTGACAGGGCAGTTTACGGTGACAGATGCACGCGACAGATCTGTCCGTTAAAGATGACGAAGTAGTATGTCCCAAAGCTTGCCTACTCTTTTGCTACACACTCAAAAGTATGTACTTTCTCTTCACAAAAAGAGTACATACTTTTAGGGCGTAGTATAAGTAGGCGAATTGGGACGCAGCAATTGTTTGTATTAGACTCGACCTATGAATTTGCAACGAGAGATAGTATCCAGTGTGAAGCACTGCCTCTGGCGGTCAGGAAGAACGAAATAGAATGTCATTTATGGTTCCATGTGGAAGGAAACATTGATCATTGGGAAATATCTACACATTAAAACTCATTTCAGTTTATGTGGCGTTTGTTCACCGTTATGATGATGTTCTGATGATGCGATGTGCAACGGTGGAGGTTTCAGGCTAATGAAGATGCTAGCAGATTAACATTACGGAAACTTTTTAATAGATATATAAAAAAAAATTTTTTTAAATAAACATTTTCATGTATAAATAGACACAGCAGAGTGGACATGTTCTCTTTCACACTATTAAGACTCTAAAAACGAGGAAAAGAGGAAAGAAAAGTGTACGAGTGATTCTTACCTTGCTCTGAGATGCTTTCCCGCCAAGGAAATGATGTCACTTCTAGCAAGTCATACACTTAAGATTGTACTTAAAGCACCAATGTAACAGGGTGGAGTTTGAGACAAACTCATTACACTTTTCTTTTTTTTTTTAAAGCATATAAAAATAATGAAAAGTATTTTGTCAAAGAGAAAAAGTCAGAGTACTCACTATACTCAAAATTGCAAGTTTAGAAATATAACCATAGTCATCAAAGTGAAGTTGAGAAAACATGATTGGGAACATGAGAAATTTCCTTGGGTATCCATCATTATGAATTTAGGGACTACTTTATTTCAATAATCCACTTCAGACACTCTACTGACTATGAGTAACTGTGCAACTGCATGTCATCGGCTCTCATCAGAGTATCCGTGGACCGGCAGGCTCAGGTTAGTGGAGTAAGCTGACCTGTAGTTGTAAAGTTATTACAGTCAGTAGAATATCTGTCGAGGAGCATCAGAATCAAGTGTTATCAGAGATTAACATCAGTCTACTAATACTCTAATCACTGACAGCTGACATGGAGTTGCAGTTACTCAGAGTTAGAGGATCTGACCTGTTGAAAAAGTGATACTGAATTGGTTTTAAACACCGGATGAAAACCGTGGCATGAAACTGGATTAATTTTATAATTTTAAAGGTATAGTTTCACAAGGACATAAATCCAGCAAACTGTAGAAATGAGCCTCGTTTGCGTCCAGAGACTGAGGAGAGAGCATGAGAAACTGAGCACTGAAACACACACGGGTGACAGTTTAAAATCAACACAAATTTAATGAAGCTCAGATAAAATAAAAGTGAACATTTAAAGAATTTCACACAGCTTTTAAAGTCTCATTAGCAGATGAGTGCCGTGTTTCGTCCATGTCTCTTCAGATCATCATCATCATCGCCATCATCATGTCCATCCCGCACACACACTCACAGCGATAGCAGTCACTGCGAGCAGAGCCGGGTCGCGCGCAATGCGCGGGCCCGAGTTACAGTAGCGTGAACCACAGCACGAGTACGCGAAGGTGACGTTGTTCCCGCGGAACACAGATGTTTTCGGTCGCGCGCAGTCGCTCGGGCTCGCACAGCCCTTGGAGAAGAGCAGGGTCGCGCCCCCGAAGCGGCCACGCGCAGTGAAGCACAGCTCCCGCGGCGCGCACTCGGACAGCACGTGCTTACAGGTTCTGTTGCGTGACGTCAGAGGACAGAAGTAACAGACGAGGCTTTCACAGAGGACTCCAGGCTGGAGACACACGACCAGGAACACCAGGCATGAGATGCACTGAAGACCAGCTTTAGACGGCATTCTGTCCCAGAGAGAACACACAAGTGCACCGCAGAAAACAGCTTTCAAACCAGAGCTCGTGCATGTGTGTTAAATACTTAACACACCTCCATGAACAGGTGTGAGCTGTTGCCTTCATTACCTTAATCACCTCAATTAGACACTGTCACCTGACCTGGTGGAGGCTCTCATCTCCAGAACATCTCAGTTCATCTCCAGAACATCTCAGTTCATCTCCAGAACATCTCAGTTAATCTCCAGAACATCTCAGTTCATCTCCAGAACACCTCAGTTCATCTCCAGAACATCTCAGTTCATCTCCAGAACACCTCAGTTCATCTCCAGAACATCTCAGTTCATCTCCAGAACATCTCAGTTCATCTCAGTTCATCTCCAGAACATCTCAGTTCATCTCCAGAACATCTCCAGAACATCTCAGTTCATCTCAGTTCATCTCCAGAACATCTCAGTTCATCTCAGTTCATCTCCAGAACATCTCAGTTCATCTCAGTTCATCTCCAGAACATTTGAGTTCATCTCCAGAAAATTTCAGTTCATCTCCAGAACGTTTCAGTTTATCTCCAGAACATTTCAGTTAATCTCAAGAATATCTCAACGCACAACAAAACATGATGTTTCCTTCTTGGCAAAATAAACTTTATATATATATATATATATATATATATATATATATATATATATACCTAGAGCTCTTAGGTATATATAACTTTATATATATATATATATATATATATATATATATATATATATATATATATATATATATATATATATATATATACCTAGAACTCTTAGGTCTGCGAACCTAGGCCTTCTGGTGGCTCCGAGAACTAAACTTAAGACTAGAGGAGACTGGGCTTTCTCTAGTGCTGCTCCTAGACTCTGGAACAGCCTCTCTCCAGAAATCAGAGCTGCACCAACCCTGCTTATCTTTAAAGGGAGATTAAAGACATTTTTATTTGACCTGTCGAATGCAAACTAAATGTTGAAGCAATTGCCCTATGGTTGTTTTTATTTTTAATTTACTATTTTCTGTGTACAGCACTTTGGTCAACGGAAGTTGTGTTTATGTGTGCTTTATAAATAAATTGAATTGAAATTATATATATATATATATATGGGAGTGATTATATAGCATCTGTTCTATAAGCTCTTGGAAGGGGAAGCATATTTTCTCTCGTGGATCCAGTCGCTTAAAAGAAGCAGCAATGTGCAAATATATGCAAACCCACGTGAACTAGAAGAGTTTTGCTCAAGCGTTTATTGATCATAAAACTAAAGGGTCCTAATTTTGAAAATGGAAGACAATGGACAAAATCAAGACTTCTGATAAAGGTTTATATCTTATAGCTGAAAGGGGCAAAGTGAAATTGTAGACAATTTTATCTGATGTGATGCAGTTCAAAGTGAAATAAATCTTTAAAATGTCTCTCTCAATTCGGTTAAATTTTTATTTTTGTTCAATTCAAAGTAAAATGCTGGGATTGGAATCAGCAGAACCTCCTGTGCAAGATATTAAAATTTACCCAGAACTTCTTAAAAGATATCATGTGGGAGACCGTGGGATTGGAGCACAGCTTTACATTTACTTTACCAGACCTGTAAAGATGGAACACACTGTTGTGGCAATTATAGGCCAATTATTCTACATTTTGGTGAATTGTTGGCCAGTTCCTCTCTGCTGAAACCCACGGTCAGGTTCAGTGCTGGACCTTCATGCTGGAGCTTTAAGAAGAAAGAGAACAATGTTTCAGCATACATCACATTGTACAAATATGAAAATCCCCATCTCTAGAAGACTCAGATCATCATGAGATCAGGTTTATGAAATTGGTCAGAGCAAAAGTGAGGAACATGCACTCGGTTTTTAAAATTACACGTTTAATTTTTCCAACCTTTTTTGTATAAAACGATTTACCCACACAATTTAAATGCTTAAAAGGAGATGGAGGCTGGTGCAGAAATTAGTCAATTTGTTTAACAAAGCAAATTAAAGGATATTTAAACTGATGTCTGTGGTTTAGTGTCCCACTTTTTCTGATTACACAAAGATTTGGTTTACATATATTTAATCCAGTGTATCATATGCACACACAAATCATTTCTGCGTATAAATAGCCCGAAAGATACAATGTGTGCTATAGATACAGCGCCAGAGATCGGGTTGATGTATTACATATTAGGCCTACTTATAGTTTACATACAGTAGTTTCGGGATTTGAGGGGAAACTGTCAAAACTTGAATATAAATAGTGCAAAGACAGGCTGCGGTAGTTCAACAGACAGAACAACTGATATATTACAAAATAATCTTTATTCCAAAATAATTTTCCACATAACGGTGTAGTTTGAGCATCTCACTGAACCACAGTAACATGAGGACTCAAACATGCTTTACTCGTCACAGGTTCATCAGTTCCCTGACTGTAAACCCGCTGATAATGGCAGTCCGTTCAGCTTTACTAATAAAATCGTAAAAGTATTAATACAAGCCATCATGTGCGCTCGTGTCACCCGCTCAATACGGTATGACGGCAACTTCCGGTAACCGCGACCCGCTCCTGGAGACGGTTCCCCTGTGCATGAGCTTCATTGCACAGGTCGCGAGCGCAGCACGTGTAGCTGATCTGATACTCGACGCCCATGAGTGTGTGTGTGTGGTTGGACCCGCACAGCTCCGGGGACGCGCAGCCCTGGCCGGCGAGCACGAGCACCGGACCGTAGTGACGCCAGCCGGTGAAGCAGCGCTCGCTCGGCGCGCACTCGGTGGTGATGTTCCTGCAGCGGCCTCTGGCCTGTAGGGGGCAGTAATGACACACCAGGACCCCGCCGCAGCGAACACACACGCACACACACACCACACACAGGAGAGTCTGGAAGAAGCCGGGCCTGGACGGGACACACACAAAACATGTTCAATCGATGGTTTCTTTTAGTGCATTACAATAAAAGTTAGTGAAGAACAAGGACTGGGACACTGGATGGATGTGCAACACTGTCATTTAATCAGAGGTGGACAAAGTACATTTACTTGAGTACTGTAAATAAGTACACTTTATGAGTATCTGTAGGCCTGCTTTACCTCAGTATTACTTTTGCTGGAAACTTTTTACTCCACTACATTTCTGTCCAGGTCCTTGAGTAGAAAGTAGTGACGTCAGTCAAGGGATGATTTTAGTTGGAAATGAAAGTCGGGTTGACGTCAGAACTCGACTGATGTTGGACACTGACTGATGTTTCTGACGTTAACCCGATTTTCGTTTTCAAACACAACCCGTCTGTCCAACGTTGGAGATTAATGTCAATCTGGCGTTGGATTCTGACATTTTCAACATTGGGTTTGCTCTTCTGAATGCAAATTTTGTCATTGTTTTGTAGCACACTTATAGATAACAGTAAGACTAACATATAATAAAAGCCCAAAAAACTTTAAATAGGGCACTATTTGAGGGATCAGCCATTTGTGTGTCGGAAACCATGTGGACGTTATTGAGTGCACTCGTTCAGTCACACACTCGTTCCCACTACTGGAGCTGTGCTCTAGACATACATGTGATATTGATATGAGGCAGGCATAGATCAGAGGAATACGGTACTGTAATGATTACACAAAACTATAACAATAATAAAACAATGCACTGACATTTACTTGTATTACTTATGATACTTAAGTAGGCCTACTTTTAAAAACAAGTAGCCTACTTCTGTACTTTTCCTTCAGTAAAAATCGGTCTTTACAACGGTTACTTGTAAAGGAGTAATATTTGACCAGTATCTGTACTTTCACTCAAGTGAGGAAGTTGCGCTCCTCTTCTCTCTCCTATAATGATTTCGAACAAGAACACATGTGGGCGGGCCTTGATTGTGTCTGTGGGGAATTGATTGGCTGGTTGTGGTTTGCTATTGGCTGATCTCATGTGAGTGACAGGTTAAAGCCCCGCCCTCGTCATCAAAGAAGAGAAGAGATGCTGCTGTTATTCTGATTCAAGATTATTAACACAATAATGATGTGAACCGATAAATCATTTACAATAAACACCGCAATATTCCATAAAAACAAGAAATGTCCATTTTGATCACATGGGCACTTTAAACCTCTACTGTCAGCACTGTAGCTAAAGTGTCTGAGGACAAACACCACATGGAATAAAAAACCCATTTGGCTTCTGGATCGCATTACAGCTGTAAAGAGTTTTAGTTATTCACGGCATCTTCATTTCTACAGCAGGAAGTGAATGGAAACACAGAATGTAGATGAAATGATGCATAACTCTACTAAACTGGTGAAGTTTGATGAACACAGAGAGTTTGAGAGTGATTTACCCGTGTGTCTCCATCGCTGCTGTGGATCTGATCATCAGAGCATCTCGAGCTTCTCGGAGAGTCTTTAACGAGTTTAATTAATCATCCGGAAAACAGGTGAGGTGAATTCGCCTAACAGCGGAAATTGTCTTTATTTTATAATGGCATGTTAATTTGCTGTCAAGGTCATGTTTCACCAGATTATGTGTTAGTTTTAACAGAAGTGAGTGTATGTGGTGCATAATTAAGAGGAATAATATGAACCGGTTCTGGGTTACATTCAAACTGTTTAAAATGGGATAGCAATGCGAAAATACACTGAACATACATCTAATTAAAATGAACGAGTTAACAAACTGATAACAAATAATAGTTTGTAATTCATACCTCATGTCAGGATAAATGAGCCGTTTTAACCTGAAACAATTGAACTGAACTGCAGTAAGTCAAGTGTTTAATATCAGGAATAAATGTATTATTTTCATGATAGTTTCATCTGATTTTGCATAACTTTAATCAAATATATTTATGAATTTCGACGGTCAGTGGAACAGAAGTTGGTCATAAGCTTCATGTTTGGATCTGGATCTCCACTGGTTCTGTTCCTCCTCCATCAGAAACCAGTCCATCTGAGGCTGAGATTAAGAGGATCCTCCACTATAGTCAGACTCTCAGTGATGAGCGGATCCTGATCTCGAACTGTTTGTCTGTGGCAACGAATTTATATTGAAATAATGGAAACAGGAAGTGAGTAATAACTTCTGATCTTGATGAACCTTCAGCTGTGTGTTTGCTGTAAGAGGCCGGTCACATGGATGTGACTGAGTCAGTTATAGCGCCACCAACTGGCAGCAGGAAGTGTGTCACTTTCGGAATGCTTTGAAATCACACTCTTATTTTTACCTGATTTGCTTCAAACTTCGTCAGAATAATGTGAAGACACCGCAGATGTAGACCTGTGAAAGCATTTGTGATATCTTGAATACTGTTGTCAAGGCAACGCGTCAAACTTTAATCAAATTCTTTTTGAGACTCTTATCATGCTTCAAATTGCATGAAACTCGACACACACCAGAGATGTCGGCCAGTGGACAGACATGGGCAAAGGCTCGGACACGGGCATGGAGAGGGAGCTCTGTAGCGCCACCTTTAGACAAAAGTGTTAGGTTAGTTTTACCTACAGTCACCAAACTCATGTAGTTCTCATCGAGCCGGACAACTTTCTAATTTACAGTCATTAGCTCCGACAAACGGGAAGTCAGATATTTGTGTTTGGATGTGAATTTTCTAACTACTGCCCCAAAGGGCTTCATGTGGTCCACACCTAACTCTCTCAACATGACGCCAGTATATTAGATGCTGAACTGGAAGAGTCTCATTTCTTCTAAATAATAAATTATACACCATTTATTTATTTAAAAAAAACATTTGATTCTTTTTTAGAATTAATGCATTATGTGCATGTGAATCTGGTTGCTCTGGTTGAAATAAATAAAATCAAATGTAATGCATATTATTATAGCATAGGCCTATTTTTAAACAAGGTTGAGAAAAGCCTTGTTGCTGAGAACAGTTTTCAGACATTACTTTTATTAGCGGTTGCACTTGGATATATATTTAGACATTATCAAAGAGCACTTTGTCACAGTTTAGAGTTTTCTCTTCATGCTGACAGTCGTGGCCCGACGCTTCTCTCCCTGTAGGCCTGTCCTGTGGTTAACATTTACTACTGGTGTTTGAAACCGCTAACTTACTGAAAGCGGGCAGAGAAGCGCTCTGAGGACAGACCGGTATCGTTTAGCATAGATTCGGTATAACACATACTATCCATCCATCTTCTTCCACTTATCCGGTGCCAGGTCGCGGGGGCAGCAGTCTAAGCAGAGATGCCCAGACTTCCCTCTCTCTAGACACTTCCTCCAGCTCTTCCGGGGGGACACCGAGGCGTTCCCAGGCCAGCCGGGAGACATGGTCCTTCCAGCGTGTCCTAGGTCTTCCCCGGGGTCTCCTCCCGCTGGGAAGGCATCCAGGAGGCATCCGGAACAGATGCCCGAGCCACCGCAGCTGACCCCTCTCGATGTGGAGGAGCAGCGGCTCTTCACTGAGCTCCTCCCGAGCTCCTCACCCTATCTCTAAGGGATCGCCCAGCCACCCTGCGGAGAAAGCTCATTTCGGCCGCCTGTAACCATGACCCAAAGCTCATGACCATAGGTGAGAGTAGGAACGTAGATTGACCGGTAAATCGAGAGCTTAGCCTTGCAGCTCAGCTCCTTCTTCTTCACCAGGACAGACCGGTACATCGACCGCATTACTGCAGAAGCTGCACCGATCCGTCTGTCAATCTCCCGTTCCATCCTTCCCTCACTCGTGAACAAAACTCCAAGATATTTGAACTCCTCCACTTGAGGCAGGGTCTCTCCACCAACCTGAAGTGGGCAAGCCACCCTTTTCCGACTGAGGACCATGGCCTCAGATTTGGAGGTGCTGGTTCTCATCCCGGCCGCTTTACACTCGGCTGCAAACTGTCCCAGTGCATGCTGAAGGTCCTGGTCTGAAGGGGCCAACGCGACAACATCATCCGCAGAGACTAAATCGTGTGGTCCCCAAACCGGACACCCTCCGGCCCCTGGCTGCACCTACAAATTCTGTCCATAAAAATTATGAACAGAACCACAAAGGGCAGCCCTGCCAGAGTCCAACATGCACCGGGAACAAGTCTGACTTACTGCCGGCAATGCGAACCAAGCTCCTGCTCCGGTCATACAGGGACCGGACAGCCCTTAGCAAAGGGCCCCGGACCCCACAGTCCAGGAGCACCCCGACCGCCACGCGATGCTCCAGAGGCGTGTCAGCCAAGACAGCCCCACAACATCTAGAGACTTGAGGTACTCAGGGCTGATCTCATCCACCCCCGGAGCCTTGCCACCGAGACTACCTTGTCTACCTCTTGACTACCTCGTGACTTCAGCTTGGGTGATGGACGAGTCCCCCTCTGAGCCCTCGGCCTCTGCTTCCTCAATGGACATATACTACTGTAAACTAAATGTTAATATTATTCATTTAGCGGATGCTTTTTATACTGCATGTATAGAATGATAGTTTATCACCTTGTGCATTAGCTGAACCCATGGGCAGAAATGGATATAACAAGAATTCGGAGAGCAAATAAGAAAAGATTCAGGAAAAATCATCTGTTCATAAAGACTTATTTTTATTGGCAGTGGAAAATAAGTTTCAGTATTTTATTGAAATGAAAGAAATAAATAATACTGTGATAAAAATAGTTCATAAGTACTTAGACTGTACATTATTTCTATTACAGGACCAGAAGATTTATTTAAATAAAGGACAATAAAAAGATAGTAACATGACTTTAATTGTACACAAGTGACTAAGAACGTAAAATTACAAAATCAAGAAGACTGGGATATGAGTCCAGCCTGGGCCTTTGATATCATCCAAAAATGACAATTCCTACATAAAGGCGGATGCACACGATATCAAAAAGGGTCGTTGAAAACAGGAGGAGTGGCTACAAATGTAAGGCTTGATTACAGTGGTGAGAATCACAGGGTTAGAGCAGAGAGAGAGAGAGAGAGAGAGAAGAGAGAGAGAGAGAGAGAGAGAGAGAGAGAGAGAGAGAGAGAGAGAGAGAGAGAGAGAGAGAGAGAGAGAGAGAGGAGAGAGAAAGAGAGAGAAGAGAGAAAGAGAGAGAAAAAGAGAGAGAGGCCACTGGAGGATTGGTCCGTCTGAGAAACACACACACTCAATCGTACATGTGCGCGCACGCACACACACGCACACGCACACACACACACACACACACACTCGTAAATGCACCCATACTCACTCTCATTCACTCTTACACTCACGTAAATGCACGCATACACACACTTACACTCACTCACGTAAATGCACACATACACACTTTCACTCACTCACTCAAATGCACGCATACACACACTTACACTCACTCACTCTTACACACACACACACACACACACACGTAATGCAGCACAAAGGGAATGGATAAACAGTGACTTTCAGCCAAAAAGATGCTAGAGAATCCCGGCATCAATATCTCATCTGTAGAAAGATGTTTTCAAAATAGCCCTCATAATTATTACAAAGTATGGCTTATCCACGGGTCTGATTTTGGTATCACAGGATATAAAACACGAACCGACCCCGATATTCACACAATGCCATTGACGCGGGTCACTTTCTCAGAATCAACAGGGAGACAAAAGAAGATTAAGAGTTTAGATCAAACACACAAAGTACTTTTAGCTGGAAGATTAAAAACAAAATCAATGAGTAGCCGATACGATAAAAATACTCATATAGAATGATAAAAATGAGATTATGCCTACAAACATAAATGTACATACTCTGGACTCGTGATATATAAATTACATCTAGAAGAGTTGAACTGGATTAGGACGCGTGAATTAAAAGGTGACGAGATAAAATCAAGCAGAAGTTGATATGAAACACTGAGTTAGAGAGACTGGAGGAATAAATAGAAGTATAAACCCGCAGGACTCTGGGATTATGGGTCTGGAACCGGGAAAAACCCAAAGGAATGATGTGGAACTCCAGCCTGACGGGGATCGTGCTCTTCAGCTGCGTCACCTGCGGGAGCAACGACATCATCATCATCATCATCATCATCATCAAAGCTGTGATTAAGAACAATATTGTGTTTTTTAAAAATGAATATGAACTTATTTTCTTTCCATTATTCGAGGTCTGACAACACTGCATCTTTTGTGTTATTTTGACCAGTTGTCATTTTCTGCAAATAAATGCTCTAAATGACAATATTTTTATGTGGAATTTGGAAGAAATGTTGTCAGCAGTTTATAGAATAAACCATTTTGTTAATTTTACTCAAACACATCTCTAAATAGTAAAACCAGAGAAACTGATAATTTTGCAGTGGTCTCTTAATCCTTTCCAGAGCTGTGTGTAAGGAAACCGGCTTCAGTGGGGTTCAGTGGTGTTCAGTGGGGTTCAGTGGGGTTCAGTGGTGTTCAGTGGGCTTCAGTGGTGTTCAGTGGGGTTCAGGGGTGTTCAGTGGGCTTCAGTGGTGTTCAGTGGTGTTCGTGGTGTTCAGTGGGCTTCAGTGGGCTTCAGTGGGGTTCAGTGGGGTTCAGTGGGCTGCAGTGGGGTTCAGTGGTGTTCAGTGGGGTTCAGTGGGGTTCAGTGGGGTTCAGTGGGCTGCAGTGGGGTTCAGTGGGCTTCGGTGGGGTTCAGTGGTGTTCAGTGGTGTTCAGTGGGGTTCAGTGGTGTTCAGTGGGCGTTCAGTGGTGTTCAGTGGGCTTCAGTGGTGTTCAGTGGGCTTCAGTGGTGTTCAGTGGGCTTCAGTGGTGTTCAGTGGGGTTCATTGGTGTTCAGTGAGGTTCAGTGGTGTTCAGTGGTGTTCAGTGGGGTTCAGGGGTGTTCAGTGGGCTTCAGTGGTGTTCAGGGGGCTTCAGTGGTGTTCAGTGGGCTTCAGTGGTGTTCAGTGGTGTTCAGTGGTGTTCAGGGGGCTTCAGTTGGTGTTCAGGGGGCTTCAGTGGTGTTCAGTGGGCTTCAGTGGTGTTCAGTGGGGTTTAGTGGTGTTCAGTGGGCTTCAGTGGTGTTCAGTGGTGTTCAAGGGGCTTCAGTGGTGTTCAGTGGTGTTCAGTGGGGTTCAGTGGTGTTCAGTGGGCTTCAGTGGGGTTCAGTGGGGTTCAGTGGGCTTCAGTGGGCTTCAGTGGTGTTCAGTGGGCTTCAGTGGTGTTCAGTGGTGTTCAGTGGTGTTCAGTGGGCTTCAGTGGTGTTCAGGGGGCTTCAGTGGGGTTCAGTGGTGTTCAGTGGGCTTCAGTGGGGTTCAGTGGTGTTCAGTGGGGTTCAGTGGGGTTCAGTGGGCTTCAGTGGTGTTCAGTAGGCTTCAGTGGTGTTCAGTGGTGTTTAATGGTGTTCAGTGGGGTTCAGTGGGCTTCAGTGGTGTTCAGTGGGGTTTAGTGGGCTTCAGTGGGCGTTCAGTGGGCTTCAGTGGTGTTCAGTGGGCTTCAGTGGTGTTCAGTGGGCTTCAGTGGTGTTCAGTGGGCTTCAGTGGTGTTCAGTGGTGTTCTGTGGGCTTCAGTGGTGTTCTGTGGGCTTCAGTGGTGTTCTGTGGGCTACAGTGGGCTTCAGTGGGCGTTCAGTGGTGTTCAGTGGGCTTCAGTGGGGTTCAGGGGGCTTCAGTGGGCGTTCAGTGGTGTTCAGTGGTGTTCAGTGGGGTGCAGTGGTGTTCAGTGGGCTTCAGTGGTGTTCAGTGGTCTTCAGTGGTGTTCAGTGGTGTTCAGTGGGGTTCAGGGGGCTTCAGTGGGGTTCAGTGGGCTTCAGTGGGGTTCAGGGGGGTTCAGTGGGGTTCAGTGGGGCTTCAGGGGGCTTCAGTGGGCTTCAGTGGGGTTCAGGGGGGTTAGTGGGCTTCAGTGGTGTTCAGTGGGGTTCGGTGGGCTTCAGTGGTGTTCAGTGGGGTTTAGTGGGGTTTAGTGGGCTTCAGTGGTGTTCAGTGGGCTTCAGTTGTGTTCAGTGGGCTTCAGTTGTGTTCAGTGGGCTTCAGGGGGGTTCAGTGGGCTTCAGTGGGGTTTAGTGGGGTTCAGTGGGCTTCAGTGGTGTTCAGTTGTTTTCAGTGGGGTTCAGGGGTGTTCAGTGGGCTTCGGTGGGCTTCAGGGGGGTTCGGTGGTGTTCGGTGGGCTTCAGTGGGGTTCGGTGGTGTTCAGTAGGCTTCAGTGGGGTTCAGGGGGGTTAGTGGGCTTCAGTGGGGTTCAGTGGGGTTCGGTGGGCTTCAGTGGGGTTCAGTGGTGTTCAGTGGGCTTCAGTGGTGTTCAGTGGGCTTCAGTTGTGTTCAGTGGGCTTCAGTTGTGTTCAGTGGGCTTCAGGGGGGTTAGTGGGCTTCAGTGGTGTTCAGTGGGGTTCGGTGGTGTTCGGTGGGCTTTGGTGGTGTTCAGTGGGCTTCAGCGGTGTTCAGGGGGGTTAGTGGGCTTCAGTGGGGTTCAGTGGTGTTCGTGGTGTTCGGTGGGCTTCAGTGGTGTTCAGTGGGCTTCAGTTGTGTTCAGTGGGCTTCAGTGGTGTTCAGTGGGCTTCAGTGGTGTTCAGTGGGCTTCAGTGGTGTTCAGTGGGGTTCAGTGGGCTTCAGGGGGGTTAGTGGGCTTCAGTGGTGTTCAGTGGGGTTCGGTGGTGTTCAGTGGGCTTCAGTGGTGTTCAGTGGGGTTCAGTGGGCTTCAGGGGGGTTAGTGGGCTTCAGTGGGCTTCAGTGGGCTTCAGTGGTGTTCAGTGGGGTTCGGTGGTGTTCGGTGGGCTTTGGTGGTATTCAGTGGGGTTCAGCGGGGTTCAGGGGGGTTAGTGGGCTTCAGTGGGGTTCAGTGGTGTTCGTGGTGTTCAGTGGGGTTCAGTGGGCTTCAGGGGGGTTAGTGGGCTTCAGTGGGCTTCAGTGGTGTTCAGTGGGGTTCGGTGGTGTTCGGTGGGCTTTGGTGGTATTCAGTGGGGTTCAGCTGGGTTCAGGGGGGTTAGTGGGCTTCAGTGGGGTTCAGTGGTGTTCGTGGTGTTCGGTGGGCTTCAGTGGGGTTCAGTGGTGTTCAGTGGGCTTCAGTGGTGTTCAGTGGGCTTCAGTTGTGTTCAGTGGGGTTCAGTGGGCTTCAGGGGGGTTAGTGGGCTTCAGTGGGCTTCAGTGGTGTTCGGTGGGCTTCGGTGGTGTTCAGTGGGCTTCAGTGGGGTTCAGTGGTGTTCAGTGGGCTTCAGTGGTGTTCAGTGGGCTTCAGTTGTGTTCAGTGGGGTTCAGTGGGCTTCAGGGGGGTTAGTGGGCTTCAGTGGGCTTCAGTGGTGTTCGGTGGGGTTCAGTGGTGTTCAGTGGGCTTCAGTGCGGTTCAGTGGGCTTCAGTGGTGTTCAGTGGGCTTCAGTGGTGTTCAGTGGTGTTCGGTGGGCTTCAGTGGGGTTCAGTGGGGTTCAGTGGGGTTCAGTGGGCTTCAGTGGTGTTCAGTTGTGTTCAGTGGGGTTCAGTGGTGTTCAGTGGGGTTCAGTGGGCTTCAGTGGTGTTCAGTGGGGTTCAGTGGCCTTCAGTGGGGTTCAGTGGGCTTCAGTGGTGTACAGTGGGCTTCAGTGGTGTTCAGTGGGGTTCAGTGGTGTTCAGTGGGGTTCAGTGGGCTTCAGTTGTGTTCAGTGGGGTTTAGTGGGCTTCAGGGGGGTTAGTGGGCTTCGGTGGGGTTCAGTGGTGATCAGTGGGGTTCGGTGGTGTTCGTGGTGTTCGATGGGCTTTGGTGGTGTTCAGTGGGCTTCAGTGCGGTTCAGTGGGCTTCAGGGGGCGTTCAGTGGTGTTCATTGGTGTTCATTGGGGTTCAGTGGGGTTCATTGGTGTTCAGTGGGCGTTCAGTGGGCTTCAGTGGTGTTCAGTGGGGTTCAGTGGTGTTCAGGGGTGTTCAGGGGGCGTTCAGTGGTGTTCATTGGTGTTCAGTGGGGTTCAGGGGGCGTTCAGTGGTGTTCATTGGTGTTCAGTGGGGTTCATTGGTGTTCAGTGGGCTTCAGTGGTGTTCAGTGGGCGTTCAGTGGTGTTCAGTGGGCTTCAGTGGTGTTCAGTGGGCTTCAGTGGTGTTCAGGGGGGTTCAATGGTGTTCAGGGGGGTTCAATGGGCTTCAGTGGTGTTCAGTGGGCTTCAGTGGGCTTCAGGGGGGTTCAGTGGGGTTATCTGGCCGGCTCTCGTCGAGGTGCTCTCATATGTGTTGAATACAGTTTTATAATTCAAATAAAAAACAAGGGCCCTATTTTTGTAGAGTTCTTACTGCATTCTGAATTAATCAAAGTCAGGTCACATATAATCATGGCTGATCATTATTTACATTATCGATCATTGGTGTCACTTCAGAGTATTCGTGCACATCTCTAGTAATAGTATTAGAGCTGCGCCAATAATCGGTAAAAGATCGCGGTCTGGATTCAAACACACAATCTTATTCCTAAATGTCAGCGATTATCCTGTGTCTATTAAACCTTTGACAAGTGCGATTGCGGCATCTGGATTAGTACCCGAAGACAGGAGCAGAGCATGTTTGGCCACAGCCCCGCCGAGCACGCGCTACACGCCGCTCGAGTCTGCAGCGATAGAGCTGCAACGGGGTTGGAGAGATTCCAAACACACCGGCGGGAGTTACGTTATATCCTAATAAACATAACTCATGTTTAGATATTTCTCATGAAAAACTTTATTAGCCATTTGTTAGTTGTGCTAAACTCAAGCTAAAAACTTCTGTTTTATGCCTTTTCCTTCAGCAAGAGTAACCATCGTGGGTTTCTTGTGAATGTGGCATGTTTGAACATTTTTGTTTGAGAAAAACTTAGCAAAGCTGAACTTGTGCTAAAAGCTAACGCCTTAGTTTCTACAAGAATCACCACCATGGGCTTTTCTTCTTGAGAAAATGTGGCGTGATGGTGTTCTAACCAAGAGCAAAAGGAATGTGCCTTTCAGGTGTGAATAAAGGTGTCTTCAGCAGATGCGCTAGAGCGCGATTCCCACATTCATACGTTTACCGAGTTTACCGACTGAATGGGAACATGTTTTTGTCATTGAATCAATTATTCAAAAACACTTGATTCATCCAGTAATAAAACAAGTGAAGTCTTAATGAGAGTTATTGAATCATTCACTCAAACCGATTCAAAATGATTAAAAATTTAAAAAATCAAATATTCAAATTAATTAAATATTAAATAGATTGCAGTAATTAACATGTTGTCAGATCCTCTAGTAAATCATGTTATTGTGTGCGGTGCAGAAAGCGAATGCAGCTGGAGTGAGTGTAGAGTGTGTAAAGAGTGTGTGCTGATGCTGAACAGAGTTCGGCCCATTCACAAAGCAGCATTTCCGGGCCACAAAAGCAACAACATTCATTAGTGATGGCAACTTTATTCAAATGAGCACCAACGAGACCAATGAGAGCTAACGTATGCAGACTTTAAATAATAATAAAAAGAGTTCTAGTTACTAGGGATGAAATCCGAGAGGTTTCTGAAGCACACATAGGCCACAGCGTAACTCTTTCAAGACCCAGAAAGTTAGTAAAGACTAACCGCTGCTCGCTAAACCGGGCAGCGGCTCCGGGTTCCAGAGCGCCGGCTTATGGACGGCTCCAACGAGGTCGTACTGCCTTTCTGGCCCGTGGAAGTTCAGTGACGTTGCTCCTATGGCTGGTTCAGAAACCTCTTCGATTTCACTTCATTCAAAGTATCGTGTTCCGAAGATGAGCGGAGGTCTTACTGGTGTGGAAGGTCATCTAAAGGCGCTCTCAGCAGTGTTGCTGCGTGGGACGCTCACTAATGAAAGATCTGGGCCGTGAGTACATGGTCCTCATGCTCAGATCCTGAGAGTAATGAAGGCTCACCTGGTCAGATCAGCAGGAGTATGTTCTGACTGCGGCCGAGTCCAGACGCTGAACTCCACTCACACCTGTAGCGCCACACACACGCATTAGTCACACACACACACGCCAGCATGTTAAACGCACACAAGCGCTGAGATTAGCTACACACACACGTTCAGTGTTGGGGAAAGATACTTATTACAATATTGCGTTACTTAGTTACTTTTTTTGAAAAGTAATCTGTTACATTACTTTTGCATTACTTTTAGTAATAGTAATCTGTTACATTACTTTTGCATTACTTTTCCTCACCTGGGCTTGCTTGTTTTTTAAAAAACAATAAAAAAAAATTTTTGGGCAAATGTTAAGGCCCTTTCACACCAGAAGTGAAGTTAATAATTCTCAGGCTGAAGGAAATGCATATTTACTCCTGTACAGTAGAGGTAGAGTACAGTAAAGGTAGAGTACAGTAGAGATAGAGCACAGTAGAGATAGAGTACAGTAGAGGTAGAGTACAGTAGAGGTAGAGTATAGTAGAGTACAGTAGAGATAGAGTACAGTAGAGGTAGAGTACAGTGGAGTACAGTAGAGGTAGAGCACAGTATAGACAGAGTACAGTATAGACAGAGTACAGTAGAGGCAGAGTACAGTAGAGTACAGTAAAGGTAGAGTACAGTAGAGATAGAGCACAGTAGAGGTAGAGTACAGTAGAGGTAGAGTATAGTAGAGTACAGTAGAGCACAGTAGAGATAGAGTACAGTAGAGGTAGAGCACAGTATAGACAGAGTACAGTATAGACAGAGTACAGTAGAGGCAGAGTACAGTAGAGTACAGTAAAGGCAAGGTACAGTAGAGGTAGAGTACAGTAGAGATAGAGTACAGTAGAGATAGAGTACAGTAAAGGCAGAGTACAGTAGAGGTAGAGTACAGTAGAGGTAGTGTACAGTAGAGGTAGAGTACAGTAGAGATAGAGTACAGTAGAGGTAGAGTACAGTAGAGCAGAGTAGAGGCAGAGCACAGTAGAGGCAGAGTACAGTAGAGGCAGAGTACAGTAGAGATAGAGTACAGTAGAGGTAGAGTACAGTAAAGGCAGAGTACAGTAGAAGTAGAGTAGAGTAGAGATAGAGTACAGTAGAGGTAGAGTACAGTAGAGGTAGAGTACAGCAGAGATAGAGTACAGTAGAGTTAGAGTACAGTAGAGGTAGAGTACAGTAGAGTACAGTAGAGGTAGAGTACAGTAGAGGTAGAGTACAGTAGAGGTAGAGTACAGCAGAGATAGAGTACAGTAGAGGCAGAGTACAGTAGAAGCAGAGTACAGTAGAGATAGAGTACAGTAGAGGTAGAGTACAGTAGAGATAGAGCACAGTAGAGGTAGAGTACAGTAGAGGTAGAGTACAGTAGAGGTAGAGCACAGTAGAGGTAGAGTACAGTAAAGGCAGAGTACAGTAGAGGCAGAGTACAGTAGAAGCAGAGTACAGTAGAGGTAGAGTACAGTAGAGATAGAGTACAGTAGAGATAGAGTACAGTAGAGGTAGAGTACAGTAGAGATAGAGTACAGTAGAGGTAGAGTACAGTAGAGGTAGAGTACAGCAGAGGTAGAGTACAGTAGAGGCAGAGCACAGTAGAGTACAGTAAAGGCAGAGTACAGTAGAGGTAGAGTACAGTAGAGTACAGTAAAGGCAGAGTACAGTAGAGGTAGAGCACAGTAGAGGTAGAGTACAGTAGAGTACAGTAGAGGTAGAGTACAGTAGAGGTAGAGTACAGTAGAGATAGAGTACAGTAGAGGTAGAGTACAGTAGAGTACAGTAGAGGTAGAGTACAGTAGAGGTAGAGTACAGTAGAGGTAGAGTACAGTGGAGTACAGTAGAGGTAGAGCACAGTATAGGCAGAGCACAGCAGAGGTAGAGTACAGTAGAGGTAGAGTACAGTGGAGTACAGTAGAGGTGGAGTACAGTATAGGTAGAGAACAGTAGAGGCAGAGTACAGTAGAGGTAGAGAACAGTAGAGGCAGAGTACAGTAGAGGTAGAGTACAGTATAGGTAGAGAACAGTAGAGGCAGAGTACAGAAGAGGTAGAGTACAGTAGAGGCAGAGTACAGTAGAGGTAGAGTACAGTAGAGATGCTTGTTTTTTAACAACAATAAAAAAGTTTTTGGGCAAATGTTAAGGCCCTTTCACACCAGAAGTGAAGTTAATAATTCTCAGGCTGAAGGAAATGCATATTTACTCCTGTACAGTGGAGGTAGAGTACAGTAGAGGTAGAGTACAGTAGAGGTAGAGTACAGTAGAGGTAGAGTACAGTAGAGATAGAGTACAGTAGAGATAGAGTACAATAGAGGTAGAGTACAGTAGAGGTAGAGTACAGTAGAGGTAGAGTACAGTAGAGGTAGAGTACAGTAGAGGTAGAGTACAGTAGAGGTAGAGTACAGTAGAGGTAGAGTAAGAATACAGTAGAGGTAGAGTACAGTAGAGGTAGAGTACAGTAGAGGTAGAGTACAGTAGAGATAGAGCACAGTAGAGGTAGAGTACAGTAGAGGTAGAGTACAGTAGAGTACAGTAGAGGTAGAGCACAGTAGAGATAGAGTACAGTAGAGGTAGAGTACAGTAGAGATAGAGCACAGTAGAGGTAGAGTACAGTAGAGGTAGAGTACAGTAGAGTATAGTAGAGGTAGAGTACAGTAGAGGTAGAGTACAGTAGAGATAGAGTACAGTAGAGGTAGAGTACAGTAGAGATAGAGTACAGTAGAGGTAGAGTACAGTAGAGGTAGAGTACAGTAGAGGTAGAGTACAGTAGAGTACAGTAGAGGTAGAGTACAGTAGAGGTAGAGTAAAGTAGAGGTAGAGTACAGTAGAGGCAGAGTACAGTAGAGGTAGAGTACAGTAGAGGGCGCCACTCAAACAAACCTTTCAGGAATTCTGGATTAAAGAACAATAGGATACAGGAGAAGGAAGTTCAGCACGCTTATTTATAAATCTAATCTAAAGTTATTTTTGCTTAGTATGGTTGAATTAGATAATTGAAAGTCAGCAGCAGAGACATTCGTTAATAAAGTGAGATTAAAAACGAAATATATTTGTGTAATTTAATATAGTTAAGTATAAAAGTTTTGCGTAAAATTCTGATTGCATTTTACTGTTTTTATTTAAAAAAATTGTGCAAGTGAGATGAGTAAATGCATGTTCACATTTAACTACAATAACCATCATGTTAACACAGCGAATACAGCACCTCACCTTATTCCCTCAACATGGGGACAGGAGAGCTGTCAGTCAATACATGTGGAAAAGTAACTTAGATATTTTGTTGTAAATTTTAAAGTAATGCATTTACTAGTTACTTGAAAAAGTAATCTGATTACGTAACTCGGGTTACTTGTAATGAGTTCCCCAACACTGCACACGTGTGACGCGCTCACAGGCGGAGCCGCTCGCTCACGTACCGTCCAGCTGCGGCTTCCTGGCCATCAGAGCGGCGTCGCCGGCGCTCACCCGGAAGCTAGCCGGCAGCGTGTCCGAGGCGCTCACGCTCATCCCGCGCACGTCTTTGGGCCGGAACTTCTTCCTCCAGGACGGCGCGCGCCGGAAGTTCTTGTCGTCGTCCTGCGGAGGAACAGCTGTGATGAAGCGCTCAGATCTGATAGGGTTAGACTGAGGAACCGGACTCACCTCGTCCAGTCTGCGCTCGGTGCCGGCGCCGATCAGGTGACCGTACTCGTGCTCCAGTAGCGCTCGCGCCTGCGGGACACGGCACAGTCAGCCGACAATATATCCAACGCAACCAGTCAAAGATTATATTTCTATTTGCACAGAACCGTCAAAGTAGAGCGAAACGGATGAGTTCAATGATCTGGAATCTGACTGATTCAAACACTGCTGTTCAAGTGAAATCTGATGGGATTGGACCAAGTATGGAAAAAGAATTCTGAAATCTGATTAGAAATGCAATAAAACAAAAAATTTGCCAAATACTACAATGTTTGTATCATGTGCTATATATACATATTCACATTTTGCACTTGATTTGTTTAAGCATTAGTAGAAGACTATCTATTAAGTGAACTGCAGTTTATCGTGTCCGACTCCAAACGCAGAAGGAACACACTGTGTCTGACCTCTGACCTGTGTGTGTGACCTCTGACCTGTGTCTGACCTCTGTGTGACATCTGAACTGTGTGTGACCTCTGACCTGTGTGTGTGACCTCTGACCTGTGTGTGTGACCTCTGACCTGTGTGTGACATCTGACCTGTGTCTGATTTGTTTAAGCATTAGTAGAAGACTATCTATTAAGTGAACTGCAGTTTATCGTGTCCGACTCCAAACGCAGAAGGAACGGTGCGTGTCTGACCTATGACCTGTGTGTGACCTATGACCTGTCTGACCTCTGTGACCTGTGTGTGACCTATGACCTGTGTGTGTGACCTCTGACCTGTGTCTGACCTCTGACCTGTGTGTGACCTCTGACCTGTGTCTGACCTGTGTGTGTGTGTGACCTCTGACCTGTGTCTGACCTCTGACCTGTCTGACCTCTGTGACGTGTGTGACCTTTGACCTGTGTCTGACCTCTGTGTGACATCTGAACTGTGTGACCTCTGACCTGTGTGTGTGACCTCTGACCTGTGTCTGACCTCTGTGTGACATCTGAACTGTGTGTGACCTCTGACCTGTGTGTGACCTCTGACCTGTGTGTGACCTCTGACCTGTGTGCACTGCGTCGGGATCTGCAGAAGCAAAGCCAGGGCGTTGTGGTCGAAGGACTCGTCCAGGGCGATGAGCGCTCCATGAACACCGCTCTCCAGAAGATTGTTGGCGTAATCCTTCAACCCGATGGCCTGAACCCAGCTGACCACGCGCTCGTTCGACCACACCAGCACATCTGAGCACACACACACGTTAAAGGACACAACACGACCACACAGAAGTGAAAATAAAGGAGAAACCACGAAGCGCTCACCTTTGACTTCCACCTGTGACTCCTCACGCCTTCGCTCAAGGTCTTTCCGGTCATAGTTCAGGCGTCTCAAACACATCACACCGCTCTGAAAACTGTTCCTACAGAGAGAGAGAGCGCCACAAACACACCGTGAGGAGGAATCAGCCCGCAATACACCGGCAGGGTTCAGCAGGCAAATGCCATTCAATTTATGTATGCATGTATGTGTGTATGTATGTGTGTATGTATGGATGGATGTATGGATGCATGTGTGTGTGTGTGTGTGTTTGTTTGTATTTGTGTGAGTGTTTGTGTGTGTGTGCATTCACACATGAAACAGCTTCAGTTCTTTTTACCGTTAAGACACTCTTCGTAAAGCAGCACTGGTAATACTGGTAAACCCCTGGAAATGAACTTCATTTCTCCTAGTTGTGTTATCAGTAGTGTAATAGTCAGGTTAGCAGTAGTGTAATAGTCAGGTTAGCAGTCAGGTTAGCAGTAGTGTAATAGTCAGGTTAGCAGTCAGGTTAGCAGTAGTGTAATAGTCAGGTTATCAGTAGTGTAATAGTCAGGTTAGCAGTAGTGTAATAGTCAGGTTATCAGTAGTGTAATAGTCAGGTTAGCAGTCAGGTTAGCAGTAGTGTAATAGTCAGGTTAGCAGTAGTGTAATAGTCAGGTTATCAGTAGTGTAATAGTCAGGTTATCAGTAGTGTAATAGTCAGGTTAGCAGTAGTGTAATAGTCAGGTTATCAGTAGTGTAATAGTCAGGTTAGCAGTCAGGTTAGCGTGTAATAGTCAGGTTATCAGTAGTGTAATAGTCAGGTTATCAGTAGTGTAATAGTCAGGTTAGCAGTAGTGTAATAGTCAGGTTAGCAGTAGTGTAATAGTCAGGTTATCAGTAGTGTAATAGTCAGGTTAGCAGTCAGGTTAGCGTGTAATAGTCAGGTTATCAGTAGTGTAATAGTCAGGTTATCAGTAGTGTAATAGTCAGGTTAGCAGTAGTGTAATAGTCAGGTTAGCAGTAGTGTAATAGTCAGGTTAGCAGTAGTGTAATAGTCAGGTTATCAGTAGTGTAACAGTCAGGTTAGCAGTAGTGTAATAGTCAGGTTAGCAGTAGTGTAATAGTCAGGTTAGCAGTAGTGTAATAGTCAGGTTAGCAGTAGTGTAATAGTCAGGTTAGCAGTCAGGTTAGCAGTAGTGTAATAGTCAGGTTAGCAGTAGTGTAACAGTCAGGTTAGCAGTAGTGTAATAGTCAGGTTATCAGTAGTGTAATAGTCAGGTTATCAGTAGTGTAATAGTCAGGTTAGCACTAGTGTAATAGTCAGGTTAGCAGTAGTGTAATAGTCAGGTTATCAGTAGTGTAATAGTCAGGTTATCAGTAGTGTAATAGTCAGGTTAGCAGTAGTGTAATAGTCAGGTTAGCAGTAGTGTAATAGTCAGGTTAGCAGTCAGGTTAGCAGTAGTGTAATAGTCAGGTTATCAGTAGTGTAATAGTCAGGTTAGCACTAGTGTAATAGTCAGGTTAGCAGTAGTGTAATAGTCAGGTTATCAGTAGTGTAATAGTCAGGTTATCAGTAGTGTAATAGTCAGGTTAGCACTAGTGTAATAGTCAGGTTAGCAGTAGTGTAATAGTCAGGTTATCAGTAGTGTAATAGTCAGGTTATCAGTAGTGTAATAGTCAGGTTAGCAGTAGTGTAATAGTCAGGTTAGCAGTAGTGTAATAGTCAGGTTAGCAGTCAGGTTAGCAGTAGTGTAATAGTCAGGTTAGCAGTAGTGTAATAGTCAGGTTAGCAGTCAGGTTAGCAGTAGTGTAATAGTCAGGTTAGCAGTAGTGTAATAGTCAGGTTAGCAGTAGTGTAATAGTCAGGTTAGCAGTCAGGTTAGCAGTAGTGTAATAGTCAGGTTATCAGTAGTGTAATAGTCAGGTTATCAGTAGTGTAATAGTCAGGTTATCAGTAGTGTAATAGTCAGGTTAGCAGTAGTGTAATAGTCAGGTTAGCAGTCAGGTTAGCAGTAGTGTAATAGTCAGGTTAGCAGTAGTGTAATAGTCAGGTTATCAGTAGTGTAATAGTCAGGTTAGCAGTAGTGTAATAGTCAGGTTAGCAGTCAGGTTAGCAGTAGTGTAATAGTCAGGTTAGCAGTAGTGTAATAGTCAGGTTAGCAGTAGTGTAATAGTCAGGTTATCAGTAGTGTAATAGTCAGGTTAGCACTAGTGTAATAGTCAGGTTAGCAGTAGTGTAATAGTCAGGTTAGCAGTAGTGTAATAGTCAGGTTAGCACTAGTGTAATAGTCAGGTTAGCAGTAGTGTAATAGTCAGGTTAGCAGTAGTGTAATAGTCAGGTTATCAGTAGTGTAATAGTCAGGTTAGCAGTAGTGTAATAGTCAGGTTAGCACTAGTGTAATAGTCAGGTTAGCAGTAGTGTAATAGTCAGGTTCGCAGTAGTGTAATAGTCAGGTTAGCAGTAGTGTAATAGTCAGGTTAGCAGTAGTGTAATAGTCAGGTTAGCACTAGTGTAATAGTCAGGTTAGCACTAGTGTAATAGTCAGGTTAGCAGTAGTGTAATAGTCAGGTTAGCAGTAGTGTAATAGTCAGGTTAGCACTAGTGTAATAGTCAGGTTAGCAGTAGTGTAATAGTCAGGTTAGCAGTAGTGTAATAGTCAGGTTAGCAGTAGTGTAATAGTCAGGTTCGCAGTAGTGTAATAGTCAGGTTAGCAGTAGTGTAATAGTCAGGTTAGCAGTAGTGTAATAGTCAGGTTATCAGTAGTGTAATAGTCAGGTTATCAGTAGTGTAATAGTCAGGTTAGCACTAGTGTAATAGTCAGGTTAGCAGTAGTGTAATAGTCAGGTTAGCAGTAGTGTAATAGTCAGGTTAGCACTAGTGTAATAGTCAGGTTATCAGTAGTGTAATAGTCAGGTTAGCAGTAGTGTAATAGTCAGGTTATCAGTAGTGTAATAGTCAGGTTAGCACTAGTGTAATAGTCAGGTTATCAGTAGTGTAATAGTCAGGTTAGCAGTAGTGTAATAGTCAGGTTATCAGTAGTGTAATAGTCAGGTTAGCAGTAGTGTAATAGTCAGGTTATCAGTAGTGTAATAGTCAGGTTAGCACTAGTGTAATAGTCAGGTTATCAGTAGTGTAATAGTCAGGTTAGCAGTAGTGTAATAGTCAGGTTATCAGTAGTGTAATAGTCAGGTTAGCAGTAGTGTAATAGTCAGGTTAGCACTAGTGTAATAGTCAGGTTAGCAGTAGTGTAATAGTCAGGTTATCAGTAGTGTAATAGTCAGGTTAGCAGTAGTGTAATAGTCAGGTTAGCAGTAGTGTAATAGTCAGGTTAGCAGTAGTGTAATAGTCAGGTTAGCAGTAGTGTAATAGTCAGGTTAGCAGTAGTGTAATAGTCAGGTTAGCACTAGTGTAATAGTCAGGTTAGCAGTAGTGTAATAGTCAGGTGCCACGAGTAGTTAATGCCCTCATTAAAGACGCCAAGTGAATTAAAGGTCATCTGGCTGGTTCGGCTCATGGCGTATTACAGCCCGGACTGGAGCGTGTGTAAGATGCATGAGCGCGCTCGACTGACCTGTGGAAGCTGTCCACCATCTTGAGCTGGCCGCGGAGGTCTTTCTTGGTCAGGTGATCCAGCATCCGCGCGTCCACCAGCGACTCCATGAAGTAGCTGCGGTACTGAGGCAAACCCAGGCTCGGCAGCCAGTCGTTCCCGATCCACTCGTGGTTCATGTCACCGTAGGCCAGAGTCTGAGCGCACACACACACACATTCAGTCCAATCGAGAGCACAGTGAGCTAAACCTGACGCTACGTGCCGAAAACACTTAATATTCAGTCATATTACTGATTTGACACTATCAGATGAGAAGAAAACGAAGTTGATCTGAATAATGACTGTTTTTAAAGCTGCTTTACAGCTGAATGTGAATTGGTCTCATATTTGATCAAGTTTGCATTATGGATTGTGTTATGTTCTTGTAAAGCTGCTTTTAAACGATATGTACTGTATAAAGTGCGATAGAAATAAAGCCGTAATATAGCGATACAAATTAAGAACTTCAGCACTGAGCTCATACAGAAGCAGTCGATTGATCATAATCTCATGACTTTACGAACATTAACCATCATCAGATGCTGTTTCGTAGAGCAAGACCAGCAGACGCTGCTTTAACATGAAGATGCAGTGAATCTCAGCGAACCGTCGAGAGCACGTCCACGTCACAATCCTCCACACACTCAGAGGATCCGTTCGGTCACGGCACACTCTGAGCTTGATTTTCTGAAGTGAAATATGACATGAACGTGTCCCTGACGGATCATGAGACCTGCATGTGTTGTGCAATAAGACTAAGCCATCAGAAGAAAGGCAGAGGTGTGTGTGTGGAAGAGGTTCAAACCTGCGCCCAGCCGCCCTCCTCGTCCTCCTGGGGTTAGCGTGTTAGCAGGTTAGCATGTGGAGCGAGGGGAGGCGATCAGTAGCAGAAGAGCAAATACAGTAAAACATCACACACACACACACACACATCAGCTGACTGACCGTGAGCGGTGTGGCGGCCAAACTCTCCATCTCCTCGTGTGTGAGCCAGACATTCCCAGAAGACTACAGTGAGTGAGGGAGGGAAACAAGTGAAGACAGGAGTGGAAGAGCAAGAGTGTGTTAGTGAGCAGCAGGAACACTAGTGGAAGCGCTCAAACATCCCATCAGGTGTTAATGTGTGAGGCATGCAAGAGAGAGAGAGAGCAGTGTGTGTGTGTGTGTGTGTGTGTGTGCGCTGTCGTAAAGCTGAACTCGATCTGCTCTGTGTTCTGATCATCGCTCTGAATCCCATCCGGACAAAACATGATTTTTGATCAGAATGTTTTTCGACGAGACTTACACACATTACAGTGTTGATCAAAAAGAATGCATGACGCTAGAATAAAATGTTTGTTTGTTTGTTTGAAAGCAGAGACTCTGTTCTTTTCATATATTGACTCTTCACATATTCATACAGCAAAATATTCTGGGAGACATAAAAATTGTGAATATGATCAAAAATGCTGACTGGCAACTTTTTTAGGAAACACTGTCAGGGAAGGAGTTTATTGTAGCCTTTGAGATTTGACAATCCCATATGGTGATTTCTGCTTGATGTTGATTAACCGCGCGGCTCCACATGACTCTACTGCAGTTGCTGACAGCGTGAGGCTGCTGTGAGACGGGTCATGGGTCGTGTGTTGGCGTCTGGCAGCGGAGGAATAGCAGCACATGCACCTGTAAGCCTGAGGTGTGTGTGAGTGTGTCAGATCTCAGTGTTTGAGCAGATGTATAGGCCAGGCTGTGTCCTACCGTTCTGGAGGTCGGAGGCGCCGACGGGCTCGTGAGCGACATGATCTCCTGGATCGCGAGCCGCAGTTTGAGGCGGTGGAGAGGGTTGCTGATGCCGATCTCGCGCTGGATCTCGGTGTCGGACAGGGCAGACATGATGGCTCCGCTCTTCACGTTGGCACGACAGGCGGCCACATACCATGCAGGCATCCCGACCCACAGCTGAGAAACAACACACACACACACACACACTCCATCATCGGGACACGCTGCTTTCCTCACGATCACACTCATCCCGTGCACATCACGCACTAGCCTTTGTGTCAGAGGGCTGGACTAAATTAAAGGGATAGTTCACCCAAAAATGAAAATTAGCCCATGATTTACTCACCCTAAGCCATCCTAGGTGTAAATGAGATTCTTCTTTCAGACGAATACAATCAGAGTTATCATAAAATCATTATCATGGATAGATGCACTTTTATGGACTTCAAAACAGAAACAGCCGTTCACTGCCATTATAAAGCTGGGAAGAGCCAGGACATCTTTTATTATAACTCTGATTGTATTCGTCTGAAAGAAGAATGTCATTTACACCTAGGATGGCTTAGGGTGAGTAAATCATGGGCTAATTTCATTTTTGGGTTAGGGTTAGGTGAGTGTGACTGGACAGGTGAGTGTGTGTGGACAGGTGAGGAGTGTGTGACAGGTGAGGAACAGGTGAGGAGTGTGTGACAGGTGAGGAGTGTGTGACAGGTGAGGAGTGTGTGGACAGGTGAGTGTGTGGACAGGTGAGGAGTGTGTGACAGGTGAGGAACAGGCGAGGAGTGTGTGACAGGTAAGGAGTGTGTGACAGGTGAGGAGTGTGTGGACAGGTGAGGAGTGTGTGGACAGGTGAGGAGTGTGGACAGGTGAGGAGTGTGTGACAGAGGAGTGTGTGGACAGGTGAGGAGTGTGTGACAGGTGAGGAGTGTGTGACAGGTGAGGAGTGTGTGGACAGGTGAGTGTGTGGACAGGTGAGGAGTGTGTGACAGGTGAGTGTGTGGACAGGTGAGTGTGTGGACAGGTGAGTGTGTGGACAGGTGAGGAGTGTGTGACAGGTGAGGAGTGTGTGACAGGTGAGGAGAGGAGTGTGTGACAGGTGAGCAGTGTGTGACAGGTGAGTGTGTGACAGGTGAGCAGTGTGTGGACAGGTGAGGAGTCTGTGACAGGTGAGTGTGTGACAGGTGAGTGTGTGGACAGGTGAGTGTGTGACAGGTGAGGAGTCTGTGACAGGTGAGTGTGTGACAGGTGAGGAGTGTGTGGACAGGTGAGTGTGTGACAGGTGAGGAGTGTGTGACAGGTGAGTGTGTGGACAGGTGAGTGTGTGACAGGTGAGGAGTCTGTGGACAGGTGAGTGTGTGACAGGTGAGGAGTGTGTGGACAGGTGAGTGTGTGACAGGTGAGGAGTCTGTGGACAGGTGAGTGTGTGACAGGTGAGGAGTGTGTGGACAGGTGAGTATGTGACAGGTGAGGAGTGTGGGACAGGTGAGGAGTGTGTGACAGGTGAGGAGTGTGTGGACAGGTGAGTGTGTGGACAGGTGAGGAGTGTGTGACAGGTGAGTGTGTGGACAGGTGAGTGTGTGGACAGGTGAGTGTGTGGACAGGTGAGGAGTGTGTGACAGGTGAGGAGTGTGTGACAGGTGAGGAGTGTGTGACAGGTGAGGAGTGTGTGACAGGTGAGGAGTGTGTGACAGGTGAGTGTGTGGACCGGTGAGTGTGTGGACAGGTGAGGAGTGTGTGACAGGTGAGGAGTGTGTGACAGGTGAGTGTGTGACAGGTGAGGAGTGTGTGGACAGGTGAGTGTGTGACAGGTGAGGAGTGTGTGACAGGTGAGTGTGTGGACAGGTGAGTGTGTGACAGGTGAGGAGTGTGTGAAAGGTGAGTGTGTGGACAGGTGAGTGTGTGACAGGTGAGGAGTGTGTGGACAGGTGAGTGTGTGGACAGGTGAGGAGTGTGTGACAGGTGAGTGTGTGGACAGGTGAGTGTGTGGACAGGTGAGGAGTGTGTGGACAGGTGAGGAGTGTGTGACAGGTGAGTGTGTGACAGGTGAGTGTGTGGACAGGTGAGTGTGTGACAGGTGAGGAGTGTGTGGACAGGTGAGGAGTGTGTGGACAGGTGAGGAGTGTGTGGACAGGAGAGTGTGTGACAGGTGAGGAGTGTGTGACAGGTGAGGAGTGTGTGACAGGTGAGGAGTGTGTGACAGGTGAGGAGTGTGTGACAGGTGAGGAGTGTGTGACAGGTGAGGAGTGTGTGACAGGTGAGGAGTGTGTGACAGGTGAGTGTGTGACAGGTGAGGAGTGTGTGACAGGTGAGGAGTGTGTGACAGGTAAGGAGTGTGTGACAGGTGAGGAGTGTGTGACAGGTGAGCAGTGTGTGACAGGTGAGGAGTGTGTGGACAGGTGAGTGTGTGGACAGGTGAGGAGTGTGTGGACAGGTGAGTGTATGGACAGGTGAGTGTGTGGACAGGTGAGGAGTGTGTGTGACAGGTGAGGAGTTTGTGTGACAGGTGAGTGTGTGACAGGTGAGGAGTGTGTGACAGGTGAGGAGTGTGTGACAGGTGAGTGTGTGACAGGTGAGGAGTGTGTGACAGGTGAGTGTGTGACAGGTGAGTGTGTGACAGGTGAGTGTGTGACAGGTGAGTGTGTGGACAGGTGAGGAGTGTGTGACAGGTGAGGAGTGTGTGACAGGTGAGGAGTGTGTGACAGGTGAGTGTGTGACAGGTGAGTGTGTGACAGGTGAGTGTGTGGACAGGTGAGGAGTGTGTGACAGGTGAGTGTGTGACAGGTGAGTGTGTGACAGGTGAGTGTGTGACAGGTGAGTGTGTGGACAGGTGAGGAGTGTGTGACAGGTGAGGAACAGGTGAGGAGTGTGTGACAGGTGAGGAGTGTGTGACAGGTGAGGAGTGTGTGGACAGGTGAGTGTGTGGACAGGTGAGGAGTGTGTGACAGGTGAGGAACAGGCGAGGAGTGTGTGACAGGTAAGGAGTGTGTGACAGGTGAGGAGTGTGTGGACAGGTGAGGAGTGTGTGGACAGGTGAGGAGTGTGGACAGGTGAGGAGTGTGTGACAGAGGAGTGTGTGGACAGGTGAGGAGTGTGTGACAGGTGAGGAGTGTGTGACAGGTGAGGAGTGTGTGGACAGGTGAGTGTGTGGACAGGTGAGGAGTGTGTGACAGGTGAGTGTGTGGACAGGTGAGTGTGTGGACAGGTGAGTGTGTGGACAGGTGAGGAGTGTGTGACAGGTGAGGAGTGTGTGACAGGTGAGGAGAGGAGTGTGTGACAGGTGAGCAGTGTGTGACAGGTGAGGAGTGTGTGACAGGTGAGTGTGTGACAGGTGAGCAGTGTGTGGACAGGTGAGGAGTCTGTGACAGGTGAGTGTGTGACAGGTGAGTGTGTGGACAGGTGAGTGTGTGACAGGTGAGGAGTCTGTGACAGGTGAGTGTGTGACAGGTGAGGAGTGTGTGGACAGGTGAGTGTGTGACAGGTGAGGAGTGTGTGACAGGTGAGTGTGTGGACAGGTGAGTGTGTGACAGGTGAGGAGTCTGTGGACAGGTGAGTGTGTGACAGGTGAGGAGTGTGTGGACAGGTGAGTGTGTGACAGGTGAGGAGTCTGTGGACAGGTGAGTGTGTGACAGGTGAGGAGTGTGTGGACAGGTGAGTGTGTGACAGGTGAGGAGTGTGTGGACAGGTGAGTATGTGACAGGTGAGGAGTGTGGGACAGGTGAGGAGTGTGTGACAGGTGAGGAGTGTGTGGACAGGTGAGTGTGTGGACAGGTGAGGAGTGTGTGACAGGTGAGTGTGTGGACAGGTGAGTGTGTGGACAGGTGAGTGTGTGGACAGGTGAGGAGTGTGTGACAGGTGAGGAGTGTGTGACAGGTGAGGAGTGTGTGACAGGTGAGGAGTGTGTGACAGGTGAGGAGTGTGTGACAGGTGAGGAGTGTGTGACAGGTGAGTGTGTGGACCGGTGAGTGTGTGGACAGGTGAGGAGTGTGTGACAGGTGAGGAGTGTGTGACAGGTGAGTGTGTGACAGGTGAGGAGTGTGTGGACAGGTGAGTGTGTGACAGGTGAGGAGTGTGTGACAGGTGAGTGTGTGGACAGGTGAGTGTGTGACAGGTGAGGAGTGTGTGAAAGGTGAGTGTGTGGACAGGTGAGTGTGTGACAGGTGAGGAGTGTGTGGACAGGTGAGTGTGTGGACAGGTGAGGAGTGTGTGACAGGTGAGTGTGTGGACAGGTGAGTGTGTGGACAGGTGAGGAGTGTGTGGACAGGTGAGGAGTGTGTGACAGGTGAGTGTGTGACAGGTGAGTGTGTGGACAGGTGAGTGTGTGACAGGTGAGGAGTGTGTGGACAGGTGAGGAGTGTGTGGACAGGTGAGGAGTGTGTGGACAGGAGAGTGTGTGACAGGTGAGGAGTGTGTGACAGGTGAGGAGTGTGTGACAGGTGAGGAGTGTGTGACAGGTGAGGAGTGTGTGACAGGTGAGGAGTGTGTGACAGGTGAGTGTGTGACAGGTGAGGAGTGTGTGACAGGTGAGGAGTGTGTGACAGGTAAGGAGTGTGTGACAGGTGAGGAGTGTGTGACAGGTGAGCAGTGTGTGACAGGTGAGGAGTGTGTGGACAGGTGAGTGTGTGGACAGGTGAGGAGTGTGTGGACAGGTGAGTGTATGGACAGGTGAGTGTGTGGACAGGTGAGGAGTGTGTGTGACAGGTGAGGAGTGTGTGACAGGTGAGGAGTGTGTGACAGGTGAGTGTGTGACAGGTGAGGAGTGTGTGACAGGTGAGTGTGTGACAGGTGAGTGTGTGACAGGTGAGTGTGTGACAGGTGAGTGTGTGGACAGGTGAGGAGTGTGTGACAGGTGAGGAGTGTGTGACAGGTGAGTGTGTGACAGGTGAGTGTGTGACAGGTGAGTGTGTGACAGGTGAGTGTGTGTGACAGGTGAGTGTGTGACAGGTGAGTGTGTGACAGGTGAGTGTGTGACAGGTGAGTGTGTGGACAGGTGAGGAGTGTGTGACAGGTGAGGAGTGTGTGACAGGTGAGTAGTGTGTGACAGGTGAGTGTGTGACAGGTGAGTGTGTGGACAGGTGAGGAGTGTGTGACAGGTGAGTGTGTGACAGGTGAGTGTGTGGACAGGTGAGTGTGTGACAGGTGAGTGTGTGGACAGGTGAGGAGTGTGTGACAGGTGAGTGTGTGACAGGTGAGTGTGTGGACAGGTGAGTGTGTGACAGGTGAGTGTGTGGACAGTGTGTGACAGGTGAGGAGTGTGTGACAGGTGAGTGTGTGACAGGTGAGTGTGTGACAGGTGAGGAGTGTGTGACAGGTGAGTGTGTGACAGGTGAGTGTGTGGACAGGTGAGTGTGTGGACAGGTGAGTGTGTGACAGGTGAGTGTGTGGACAGTGTGTGACAGGTGAGTGTGTGGACAGGTGAGGAGTGTGTGACAGGTGAGTGTGTGACAGGTGAGTGTGTGACAGGTGAGGAGTGTGTGACAGGTCAGTGTGTGGACAGGTGAGGAGTGTGTGACAGGTGAGTGTGTGTGACAGGAGAGTGTGTGGTACCTCGAGCCACACCACGACGGTGGGACCGTCCCACTGAGCGAAGGGAAGACCCTGCCGACACGCTTCCTCCAGCAACTCGTGTCTGGGAACACAGAAAACATTATGAACACGCATGTATGAGCAAAGAGCTCGTGTTATGGGCCAAACATATGCAAGAATGATGATATGCAGTAATATGAAGCATTCGTACGGCCAGAGAACAGCTCATGTACAGATGTGAGGAAAAAGAGTTTTTAGAAAGAACTTCCACCAACAAATCATCAAAACATCGCCAGAACAACCAGGGATTCAACCAACTCAACAATTATGATATCAAAGGTTAATACACTAATTTAACTAACTTTAATAACTACTTTATTTATTTATTTAAAGCACCCAGCCTTGACACTTTTAAATCACGACTTAAAACTCACTTTTATTCATTGGCTTTTAAACCAGCCTGAGAGTTCATTTTCTGCTTTATGTTCTGTTTTGTCTTGTCACTTGTTTAACTGTGTCTTGTGCTCTTGTCATGTGTTTATAATTTGTCTGAAATGATGTCAGTGTTCAGCACTTTGGCGAACCTCAGTTGTTTTAAATGTGCTTTACAAATAAAATTGTATTGTATTGTATATTGTATCCAATCAATTCCCCACTACACAATCAAGCCCCGCCCACATGTGTTCTTATTCCAGAAGCGTTTCTCTCGATATACGGCACAATGGAGGAGAAGAGAGCAGCGCAACCTCCCTTTCATGCACACTATTTTTTTTGTGAGACACTTTCTTCAAATTCACCCCTGCATAATAGAGATTTAGTCTCTGTAGAGCACATCAGGCAATCGCTGTTGTATTAAATCCTGCTTTATAAAGAAAGATATTCTAAATCACTAAATAAATCAATGCATAAATCTAGGAATTAACCAATACAGTTATGAAACCTTCACCATGTGGTTATCACCTCAACTCAAACCATGTGTAATGTTGTGAAGGTCAGGAGGTTAGTAGAGCTGAAGAGCATCACAGCAAGCATGAGACGTGCAGGTGGTTTTCATGCTCCACACACACACACACACACACACACACACACACACACGAGACGGACACTTACCCTGAGTTTGGGCTATGAGTGACACATGAAAGAGTGTGTGAGGAGAGAGGAGGGAAAACAACCAGAATGAGCCACTGCAAGACTGATGGGTAATGAGACATGAATCATAATGACAGCAACACTGGAACGGCTGCGATGCCTTAAACCAGAGACCCCGATATACGTCAGCATAATCACACAACACACCGATGATTACAAACATGTGTAATGTAAAGACTGGAGATCTGAATCTCAGCTCATCATCACCATGATCAGACGCTTCTGAACCGCTGTTTTCTCCCTGATGTGTTTAGTTTGTTATATTTGTTATCCGTTCGATTGCTACCGAAAAAGCACTGAGTATATCGGGGCCTGAACACTTCCCAGGTACTGGCGAGCGACCTGAAGCGGTGTGGCGGAGCGTGGACACGATGGCAGGGCAGTGTGTCGAGTGAAGATGAGGAAGCACACACTAAAGCATCAGTTTCTGCACTCACTTCTCTATGTTTTTTAAGCAGTTTCCCTTCAAAACTATTGAATATGGATATTATATATGAATGCTATTGACGTGTCACTCACTTCTTCTGCAGTTTTCTGCTCTTCTCTGCAGGGCCGCCCAGTTTGCCGAGTGTCATGGCATCCGGTGACCCGCTCCCTTCAGGCGTTCCTGCGGCTGATCCACACACACACACACACACACACACACACAGAACTCGTCACATTCACATGAGTCTTGGTGTGTTTTCTCACGACCCAGAAGGCTCCAGTGTTGATGAGTGAGCGTGATGTGATTTCTGACTGACTCTGTGTTTCCGTGATTCGATCACAGAAGCTATTAGACCTAGCCTGGGAAAACCCAGACAACTTCCGGCAAGTTTAGATTTGCTCTGAAAGTTAGTCTGCTCATTCAAGCCCATTTCCAATCCGTCGAAACCGCCGCACCAATCAGAAGCGTTGGGGCGGGTTTACACGATGACGACAGCGCTGGGGTTTTGAAGCAGATTTTGTAGCCTACATTACAGAGATGGATGCCGCCGTCGAACATCGCTCGTTCCAATCAGCTATCGCGTCTGTTTTAAGCCATTTGAGCGTTTCCTTTTGGTTAAAAACCGAGTAAAGAACAACACTCGGAGATGTGTCTCCGCCGCTCTGCATACGTCATCTCCTTCATCGATTGGGTTTAGGTCCATCCGCGACGTCCGTTGGTGACGCCCCTCTGGAAATGATTTGTCTATGACGCTTTGCCAGACCATAACTCAGTTACACCTGAGAATGCTCTGGTTTTAACCCGGCTATATTAGACCCGTTTACGCCTGTATTTACTGCTGATCACTAAACACACATGTGAACGCTATTATAATGCTGAATATAATGTATGATAATTCTCATTTATGCATTTGGTAGACGCTTTTATGCAAAGAAACTTGCATTGTATTCGAGGTATTCACATGTTTATCAGTTCTTGCTTTCCCTGGGCGTCGATCCCGTGATCGCTGCTAGTGTCACGCTCTACTGTTTGAGCCACAGGATTTATAATTCTCATTTAAATGAGAATCAGTTGCAGTGATGAGAATATGGGGCAAATGTTAACATTGCAAGAGCAACGGTGTGAAAACAGGCTGTGTTTAGTTTAAGCAGTGTGTGTGACGCAGATGAGGAGTGTGTGTGACGCAGATGAGGAGTGTGTGTGACGCAGATGAGCAGTGTGTGTGACGCAGATGAGCAGTGTGTGTGACGCAGATGAGCAGTGTGTGTGACGCAGATGAGCAGTGTGTGTGACGCAGATGAGCAGTGTGTGTGACGCAGATGAGCAGTGTGTGTGACGCAGATGAGCAGTGTGTGTGACGCAGATGAGCAGTGTGTGTGACGCAGATGAGCAGTGTGTGTGACGCAGATGAGCAGTGTGTGACGCAGATGAGCAGTGTGTGTGACGCAGATGAGAGCAGTGTGTGACGCAGATGAGCAGTGTGTGACGCAGATGAGCAGTGTGTGTGGCGCGGATAAGCAGTGTGTGTGACGCAGATGAGCAGTGTGTGTGACGCAGATGAGCAGTGTGTGTGACGCAGATGAGCAGTGTGTGTGACGCAGATGAGCAGTGTGTGTGACGCAGATGAGCAGTGTGTGTGACGCAGATGAGCAGTGTGTGTGACGCAGATGAGCAGTGTGTGTGACGCAGATGAGCAGTGTGTGACACAGATGAGCAGTGTGTGTGGCGCGGATGAGCAGTGTGTGTGACGCAGATGAGCAGTGTGTGTGACGCAGATGAGCAGTGTGTGTGACGCAGATGAGCAGTGTGTGTGACGCAGATGAGCAGTGTGTGTGACGCAAATGAGCAGTGTGTGTGACGCAGATGAGCAGTGTGTGACGCAGATGAGCAGTGTGTGTGACGCAGATGAGCAGTGTGTGACGCAGATGAGCAGTGTGTGACGCAGATGAGCAGTGTGTGTGGCGCGGATAAGCAGTGTGTGTGACGCAGATGAGCAGTGTGTGTGACGCAGATGAGCAGTGTGTGTGACGCAGATGAGCAGTGTGTGTGACGCAGATGAGCAGTGTGTGTGACGCAGATGAGCAGTGTGTGTGACGCAGATGAGCAGTGTGTGTGACGCAGATGAGCAGTGTGTGACACAGATGAGCAGTGTGTGTGGCGCGATGAGCAGTGTGTGTGACGCAGATGAGCAGTGTGTGTGACGCAGATGAGCAGTGTGTGTGACGCAGATGAGCAGTGTGTGTGACGCAGATGAGCAGTGTGTGTGACGCAGATGAGCAGTGTGTGTGACGCAGATGAGCAGTGTGTGACGCAGATGAGCAGTGTGTGACGCGATAAGCAGTGTGTGACGCAGATGAGCAGTGTGTGTGACGCAGATGAGCAGTGTGTGTGACGCAGATGAGCAGTGTGTGACGCAGATGAGCAGTGTGTGTGACGCAGATGAGCAGTGTGTGTGACGCAGATGAGCAGTGTGTGTGACGCAGATGAGCAGTGTGTGTGACGCAGATGAGCAGTGTGTGTGACGCAGATGAGCAGTGTGTGTGACGCAGATGAGCAGTGTGTGTGACGCAGATGAGCAGTGTGTGACGCAGATGAGCAGTGTGTGTGACGCAGATGAGCAGTGTGTGACGCAGATGAGCAGTGTGTGTGACGCAGATGAGCAGTGTGTGTGACGCAGATGAGCAGTGTGTGTGACGCAGATGAGCAGTGTGTGTGACGCAGATGAGCAGTGTGTGTGACGCAGATGAGCAGTGTGTGTGACGCAGATGAGCAGTGTGTGTGACGCAGATGAGCAGTGTGTGTGACGCAGATGAGCAGTGTGTGTGACGCAGATGAGCAGTGTGTGTGACGCAGATGAGCAGTGTGTGTGACGCAGATGAGCAGTGTGTGTGACGCAGATGAGCAGTGTGTGTGACGCAGATGAGCAGTGTGTGTGACGCAGATGAGCAGTGTGTGTGACGCAGATGAGCAGTGTGTGTGACGCAGATGAGCAGTGTGTGTGACGCAGATGAGCAGTGTGTGACGCAGATGAGCAGTGTGTGACGCAGATGAGCAGTGTGACGCAGATGAGCAGTGTGTGACGCAGATGAGCAGTGTGTGTGACGCAGATGAGCAGTGTGTGTGACGCAGATGAGCAGTGTGTGTGACGCAGATGAGCAGTGTGTGTGACGCAGATGAGCAGTGTGTGTGACGCAGATGAGCAGTGTGTGTGACGCAGATGAGCAGTGTGTGTGACGCAGATGAGCAGTGTGTGTGACGCAGATGAGCAGTGTGTGTGACGCAGATGAGCAGTGTGTGTGACGCAGATGAGCAGTGTGTGTGACGCAGATGAGCAGTGTGTGACGCAGATGAGCAGTGTGTGTGACGCAGATGAGCAGTGTGTGTGACGCAGATGAGCAGTGTGTGTGACGCAGATGAGCAGTGTGTGACGCAGATGAGCAGTGTGTGTGACGCAGATGAGCAGTGTGTGTGACGCAGATGAGCAGTGTGTGACGCAGATGAGCAGTGTGTGACGCAGATGAGCAGTGTGTGTGACGCAGATGAGCAGTGTGTGTGACGCAGATGAGCAGTGTGTGTGACGCAGATGAGCAGTGTGTGTGACGCAGATGAGCAGTGTGTGTGACGCAGATGAGCAGTGTGTGTGACGCAGATGAGCAGTGTGTGTGACGCAGATGAGCAGTGTGTGACGCAGATGAGCAGTGTGTGTGACGCAGATGAGCAGTGTGTGTGACGCAGATGAGCAGTGTGTGTGACGCAGATGAGCAGTGTGTGTGACGCAGATGAGCAGTGTGTGTGACGCAGATGAGCAGTGTGTGTGACGCAGATGAGCAGTGTGTGTGACGCAGATGAGCAGTGTGTGTGACGCAGATGAGCAGTGTGTGTGACGCAGATGAGCAGTGTGTGTGACGCAGATGAGCAGTTGTGTGTGACGCAGATGAGCAGTGTGGTGTGACGCAGGATGAGCAGTGTGTGTGACGCAGATGAGCAGTGTGTGTGACGCAGATGAGCAGTGTGTGACGCAGATGAGCAGTGTGTGACGCAGATGAGCAGTGTGTGACGCAGATGAGCAGTGTGTGTGACGCAGATGAGCAGTGTGTGTGACGCAGATGAGCAGGTGTGTGTGACGCAGATGAGCAGTGTGTGTGACGCAGATGAGCAGTGTGTGTGACGCAGATGAGCAGTGTGTGTGACGCAGATGAGCAGTGTGTGACGCAGATGAGCAGTGTGTGTGACGCAGATGAGCAGTGTGTGTGACGCAGATGAGCAGTGTGTGTGACGCAGATGAGCAGTGTGTGTGACGCAGATGAGCAGTGTGTGTGACGCAGATGAGCAGTGTGTGTGACGCAGATGAGCAGTGTGTGACGCAGATGAGCAGTGTGTGTGACGCAGATGAGCAGTGTGTGTGACGCAGATGAGCAGTGTGTGTGACGCAGATGAGCAGTGTGTGTGACGCAGATGAGCAGTGTGTGTGACGCAGATGAGCAGTGTGTGTGACGCAGATGAGCAGTGTGTGTGACGCAGATGAGCAGTGTGTGTGACGCAGATGAGCAGTGTGTGTGACGCAGATGAGCAGTGTGTGTGACGCAGATGAGCAGTGTGTGTGACGCAGATGAGCAGTGTGTGTGAGCAGATGAGCAGTGTGTGTGACGCAGATGAGCAGTGTGTGTGACGCAGATGAGCAGTGTGTGACGCAGATGAGCAGTGTGTGACGCAGATGAGCAGTGTGTGTGACGCAGATGAGCAGTGTGTGTGACGCAGATGAGAGTGTGTGTGACGCAGATGAGCAGTGTGTGTGACGAGATGAGCAGGTCGTGTGTGACGCAGATGAGCAGTGTGTGTGACGCAGATGAGCAGTGTGTGACGCAGATGGCAGTGTGTGTGTAGCAGATGAGCAGTGTGTGTGACGCAGATGAGCAGTGTGTGTGACGCAGATGAGCAGGTGTGTGACGCAGATGAGCAGTGGTGTGACGCAGATGAGCAGTGTGTGTGACGCAGATGAGCAGTGTGTGTGACGCAGATGAGCATGTGTGTGACGCAGATGAGCAGTTGTGTGACGCAGATGAGCAGTGTGTGTTGCGCGATGAGCAGTGTGTGTGACGCAGATGAGCAGTGTGTGTGACGCAGATGAGCAGTGTGTGTGACGCAGATGAGCAGTGTGTGTGACGCAGATGAGCAGTGTGTGGACGCAGA